CAGAAAAGTCACTAATGCCAACAGGTCTACCATAACTGTCTTCCAAGGGCACTTGACCCTTTCTTAATTCTTTGCTTTTGTTGTGTTTGTCTTGACACACAAATGCTCTTTCTCCTTCCCAATTCCTACTTTAATGTCCAGTTCAGTCAGGCATGGTGATGTGTGGCTATAATCCCAGCACTCTGGGAGGCTGAGCAGAAAGTTTGCAAGTTTGAGCCCAGCCTGGGGAAATTAGAGATTTAACAAGACTATTTCTCAAAATAGAAAAATAACTAAAGGCTGGGGACATAGCTCAGTGCAAAGACACTGAATTCAATCCTCAGTACCAAAAAGAAAAAAAAAAATCCATTTTAATTACTACCAATTCCGTCTACAAAACCACTTGGACCAGATTAGAGCGTGAAAGACCTCTTTCATGTTCCAGTGTGCTCATACCTAGTACTTAGATATTTTGCAACGTTTTTGCACTCCATTTAACACTTAAAACTTGATACTGTCATTATTTTTATCTTATAAGTGAGATTATTGGAGCATTCTCAAAGTACGTGGCAGAGTTAGGGTTGAACTCAACCCTGTATTGTTCCAGTGCAGAAGAGAGAATAGAAAATTTATATTTTGATCATTTGTTATGTGACAGGTGTTCCATCCAGGAAAAAAATAAAACCCTTATCGAGACTCACAAATTCATTCACAATGTGGGTCACTTCTTCAGCACTTGATAATTTTCCTGTCAATCCTTAAGCCATAACCTCCTCGGCCTTCTTTCCACTTCTAAGACTTAGTGAACACTTCATACTCCAGTGCTGTTTCCTTTAGCTTAAATACTCCTCTTACCATTCTAATCTCTACTCATTTTGATCCTAATTCATATATAATTTCCTCAAGATCCCTGCTTCCATAATCATTCTGAAAAAAAAAAGGATTGTATTGTATGTACTGTAACTCCCATTATCTGTTGTATTTCCCAGCATTTACTGCAACCCTAAAGCCTTTGTAATCATGTATTTAATGCATGTCTCTCCCTTGCTGCTCTATCATGAGTCCTTTCACTGCCTCTTTCATCATTTTCTCTGCAGTGTACACACAAGGCGTGAATGATTGATATCTTTTAATTCTTATGAGACATTTGAAGACTTTGCAGAAATTAAACAAGCTTAAACTCGTAGCTAGTAAGAAATAGAGATTGTGCATGTTGAAAAACTATACTATTTCTACCACAGAAATGTTAAACCAAGCTTAACTCAATCCCCTCTAATCTATATTTAGTCTTTTTTTTTCTTCTCAGTTTATAATCATTGCAAATACATAAAAAATACATAATAAACTCTAAAAGCAAGTACTAGAATTTTAACATCAAATGTCGTTTAAATAAAAATACACTAAAACTGGACTGTAATGCTCCCATAGAAAAGGGTGAATTGATGGCTCAGAGAGTCAACCATAACACACAATGGAAAATGAATGGCCTTATCCTTCAGAATGTGGCAGCTGGATTTCAATTTCAAGATAGCAGCAGAATGTCTAATTCACCAGGAAAAAGGAATCAAAAAACACCCAATCTGTTGTTTCAGGATTAATGAAATTAATAGGATTTCTCACTGTTCTACCTTTGATTGCATATCTCCAGTGAAATCTAATACAGACTTTATTATCCAGAAAAGCCAGGTGCTAGCAGTAAGAAGTAACTTCCAGACTAGAAGGAGAGGGGGCTCCTTGCAGGGAGTTTAATGCAGCAACATGTAACTATAATTTGTTTTTCCAAGATCTCAGAGAGTACAGTACTGGTAATGCATTTTATAGAGTCATTCACTATAATGGAGTCCCCTAAATATTTCTATTCTAACTTTATACTACCATGGGTATAACATTATTGCATAGCTCCTGCCATTGTGAAAGCAAATATGCAATACTATTTTCTGTTAGGATAAGTTTGTGAATTCTGAGAGGAGTTTACTTTCATTTAAAACAGAGACAAACTTACAATGAAGAAGAAGAATCCTTCTTGCTGCTGAGAAGCGAAAGGCCATCACAGACTGTGACTACATGTATTTCAGCTCAAGTTGGGAAACAACAATTAGCCTTACTTTGCTGAAGGACTTAGATGTCTGTATCTTTCTTCACTGTACCCCAGTTCCAAAGAAAATACGCAAAGCTCCCTTGTTTCAAATTGTTCCTACACCCACTAACCACCTTCCACAGGCATAGAGCAACAAAACTCATCAAGCCTCTCTCTATATACTGTTATTTGACTAGCATCTTTAAAAGCATATGCCACTTCTGCCTTAGACTTTAATGGTATAGAGGTAAGGGAAAAAGGTGGGGTGAGCATTCACTTTGACCTTGTCGAAAACTTGGTATCAATCAAGAGAATCTGAAATTATGTATCCAACACAGTAACAGATTCAAAGGGAAACTATGTACTAAAGGTGTTTTAAAATTGGTATCCTACCTCTACTTCCCTCCAGAACTCTGCTCTGCCAAAAGAAATTCTCGGCAAGACTGAATCATTCTGCTGAAATAAATTCAAACCCAAAGTTTTATCACGTATTCACTTTGATCTTCTGGGTTGCTATGAAGCATGTCAGGCTGCATGATCCCAAGAATGCAAAGATGAATAATTCATCTACGGTATTATCAAAAGTTGGTGACATACAGTGTACTGAATTTTTTAAAATCCAAAGACCCTTTTGAAAAAATTCTTATTTAAGGCAATATTTTAGGTACACAGTGCTTAGAATATTGAAGCAAGCAACAGAAGAAGGAGAAGAAGAAGAAGAAGAAGAAGAAGAAGAAGAAGAAGAAGAAGAAGAAGAAGAAGAAGAAGAAGAGGAGGAGGAGGAGGAAGAGGAG